ATTCAACCACTATTTTAAATTTATACTAGAAAAGTAATTTAATTCTTGTACTTAAAGTCATTTTGGGAGAAATAAATTGTTTAGAAAATTACTTACATTCTTGTAAATAGCAATAATAATTTATTCAAGAATTGTTTAAAACTAATAATATTGTTTTAAATCTGCAACGGTATTTTTAGAATAATCGGTGTTTGAGTCTTTTTGTAATATACAAATAAACAAACGTTTTGGCTACTCGGGGTAGGAGTCCGCGTACAAAAAATTCTTGGTAGCGCGAAGTTTAAAGAACTGATGAAGAACTCAAGTCCTTTATTTTAAGTGATAATTTTTTTCGAACAATTGCAAGTAGGTATATGGAGATAAGAAGTAAAGACGTTATTGTACCAATCCAAAAAAAGGGTTTGCTGTGCAAGTCACTTGAGAACTTACAGAGAATAACTCTGGTGAAGCGACCTTGATTTCACCATTTCAGTCATCACCCCTCAGTTCGTAATTATTGATTTTCCGCTCTGGCCTAACTCCCCTAACTTTCTAGATAGAGTGAGAGAGAGAGAAAGAGAGAGAGAGAGTTGAAAATGCCTTTGTCCCCCTTCCGAAACACAAGAACTGGTTACACTCCTCTCTTTACCCATATTTTACTCTTCTCAAGTAGAAACATTAGATTTTAGGTTTTTTTAACCTTCGATGTTTCGAGAGATTTTTATATCCGCAGATGACAAGAAGTTACGAGTTTTCTTATTAGTATAATCAAAAAAGGATCATTTTTTCTAGAATTTTTATATTTTGACAAATAATACTTCTTTTTTTGTATTTACTGCTTCGAATAATCTGAAAGAATTCTTTACAGGAAGAATTCCTGAAGAATTCATAACGACAGGAGAAATTAGACGAAGAAATGTGTAAGTGATTTTCAGTGAAATTTTACTGCTTGAAATAGTGAGAATAGTCACTGATTATCAGTCAAATTTCACTGATCTTCGGTTGAATTTCACTGATTCAGATTTAGAGAGTAATCTCCTAAACTATTCCTTATGGAACATTTTACCCCATACTGTTACCATTTCCCCCGTTTTATGGAAGAGATTTGTATTTCTCCCCTAAATATATAAAAATCAGTTCCCCTATGTATGACATTGTAATCCTAACTAGTATCGTCTTACCGGAATGCATTTTTTAAATCACTTTTTATTATAGTTTAATATTCACACATGTGACGAAAATTTATCATCCAAAGATAAAGTGTTTTTAAAGAATCAGAATAAAGTGATATTAATGGTTTCTGAAATGTACAACATTAAGTCTATGGACTACAACATTAAATATACGTACTACAAGTCTACAGTGTTAAATATATGGTCTATAATACTGAATATTTACTACAATATATAAAATATTGATTTAATTTTTTTTTAATATTTCGATACTGTTTTTGATTTGAAAATAATTTTGTTTAATTTTTAATTTTTTTGCAATGTTTCTTTTTCTTTTTAAATTCGTTAAAGGGAGTAAATATTCGAACGATTACTACAAAATTTAATTGTGTGTCACAATCTTAACGCTAAAGAGAAATTGTAAAAAAAATTTGTTCATAATTACTCAACGCCAGAAAGTGTAAACTAACTTTGCGTTAAAATCACAAAAAAAAATTTCTTCTGAAATTAAGAATATGTACTTAGAAGCTACTCTCTAAATTTGAATTAGTAAATTTTACTGTAATTAATTAGCGGAAATTTAAAAAATTTACTAATTTAAATTTAGAGAGTATTTTGGAATATTTTATTTTTAATTCTATTATATTCTAATTTAAGTATAATCTATTCTTAAAAGAAAAATTTGTTTCTAATATTTAGTGAATACTCTTAGTTTTATAATATTATATTAATTAATTTTTTTCGGTGATTGAATCTTTGAATGTCGGTTTTCTGAACGACTGTCTAAAGAAGAAAAATTTTCAAAGAAATAGCTTTTTTCTTTCTGAAACTGAATTAGAACTAAACTCTAAATCTGTAAAATTAACTCTAAAGCACTTATAGCTGAAATGTATTTTTTCTAAAATTCAGACTCCTTTTAGACTTAAAATAGGTACACTCGTTAAAAATGACTGAACTTTTACCCGTGTAGAAAAATTTCTTGGCGCTATGCTAGCTAGCACTAGATACATGGTAAATTTACATGCAGTCTAGCGCTGCTAGCTAGCGCCACGAAATTTTTCTACACGGGTAGTTACTCACACCACTGATTGTCTAATTGATTTAATTAAAATTCTCATTTGAAATTGTAAATTCAAAAAAATTTCCATTTATTAATATATATATATATATATATATATATATATATATATATATATATATATATATATATATATATATATATATGTTTAACATATTGATTTAAAAATATTAAAGATTTATAAATCCTAAAAAAATCTTTCCTCTCGACAAATATGCAAACTATCGAAAAGATTAAAGGTAATATTTACAGACATTCGTCTGAGTGATACCAAAAATTTTCCGACAATTTCTAAATTATTTCTTGACAATAATCTAGAGTCGCGAATTCTTAAGAAATTACCAAAAAATTACCTGAGAATCGACAAAATTTTCCGAGAAATTCTCTGGAAATTCACACAAATTATTGTAAGGAATTAAGATGATGAAAAAAATCGATCACTCCGAGTCAGGATTAATCCTGACTCACTCGGAGTGATCGATTTTTTTCATCATCTTAATATTTTATCGACCGAGTGAAAGCATCATACTATATATATTGTAAGGGATATTTTGAAGTAATTTCCTATAGTAATTCCCGGGAATTTTCCGAGAATTTTCTGTTTTGTTTCTCGGAAAATTCAGGAAAATTTTTGGAAATTGAAAATTATTTAATTACAATGACCAAGTAAGAATATACTTGTAAAATTTTCTGGAATCACTCCTAAAGTATTTTCTATAATATTCCTTGGAAAATTTTCTCAACAGTTTCTTGGATACTTCACGGAAATTTTAGGGAATTATTGTATTATTTTTTTATAAATATTATTATATAATTTCAAGGAATTATTGAAGAATTTCCTAGATATTTCTCAAAAATTTTCCGGAGTATATTATTACCGTGAAATTAAACAGGAATTCTCGGAAAACTTGTGGAAAATTCCCGAAAAATATTGAAGGGAATTTGTTAGAAGTCAATCTCTACAATAATTTCTAGGAATTATTTAAGAATCTCCTGGATATATCATAAAAAATTTTGGTATAATATTATGACCGAGAAATTCTCGGTAAATTCTTAGGAAATTTCAGTTAATAATTGCAGAGAATTTTCGGAGAATCTTTCCACAAAATTTTCGCAAGGAATATTTTGAAGTGGACATTGAGTTAAAATTTGTAGCCGTATATTGAATTTAAAAAATTTGTAGATATTTTTACTCTAGAATCAACTTTCACATGTTAATCAAGAATCAACATTTTTTATAAAAAATGTTGATTTAATGTACACTCGAACGTTTAGTGTCTCTGAATTAATAATCCTAATTGTTTTTCGAATAGAGTCTAAATTTGTAGTGTCGTTCAAAAGAAACATCAACCCGTTAATTAAGACGATGAAAAAAATCGATCACTCCGAGTCAGGATCGATTTTCTTCATCATCTTAATAATTTATCGACCGAGTGATAGCATCATTACTATATATATCAACCCGTTAATTTTCAAACTTTGTTGTTTTCTATACTGAATACATTTCGTAAATTTAAGATTTCTTATAAACAAACAATTAAATTATATAATAATAACACATTTGTTATTGATGATAAATAATTAATTGGAGCTGTATTAATTGCCCACAATTTATCGATATACAGAAAACAGTACATATTAGACTGCATATATAAGGGAAAACTGTATACAAGCAATTTTAAAAATAAAATTATTAAATTTAATTCATATTGAACCAAACTTATTATGTATTCAATCAAAATTATTATATTTAATTCAAAAATAATTTTTAGTTGACTGTATAACAAAGATAATTATATTTGATTCAAACTTTTGGGTCCTAATCGATATTCTTATAAATTTTGATATTCAGTATTCAATATTTAGTATTCAGTCTAATGAAAATTATTAAAATCTAACACTAATTGGGAAATCGACTGGAACTTATATACAGCTTATATGCAGTTTTCCAATGTGCAGTTTAAATTAATTTTATTTTTTTATTCAAATTTAATTTTTAATTTTTTATCGTCTAAAATTTAAATTTCTACAGTTTTTAAATTAAATTATACTTTTTATTTTTAAAATTTGATTATACGCAATTTCCTATGAAGTTTTTCTGTATATATAGTTGAATTGTATGACAATTGATACCTCCCAAATTAATTAATTTATATTATTTATAATTAATTAATTTAATAATGTAATATATTTTCGATAATTTATTAATTCATTCATCAATTAATCAACCAGAAGTCTATGAGGTATATTAAAAATTGTTAAAATCTAAATTTACAACTACAAAATGAAAAAAATCCATTTTTGAATTTATTTCTTCTATGACAAATATGTATCTCTAAATATAAAAAGAAAAATCATAACCGTTTCAAAAAAATAATTCTCCGATTGATTATTTTAATCCTTAATGAGACTTGTAGCTCATTTTAATGCAGGTTTGTATTAAAATAATACTCGTCAAGCAATTCGGCTAACAATAAAATTTTGATAAATATTGGATTTTATCACTCGGTCATCTTAATTTAAAAACATTGAGGTGAACGATCATTCCAAGTCGATTACTCGATCCGGGGTGATCGTTCACCTCAATGTTTTTAAATTAATAAAATTCAAAATTTAATCGGCTATTAATAAACAAAACATGAGAGAGTAATTTTTATTCTCAGGTAAGAACTACAAGATGTGATATTGCAAGCATATTGCAATTCTAATTTCGAAAAATTGTATTTAAATTTAACATTCTCTAGATAGAGAAAAAATCCTTTGGTACTCACCTCTGCCTATACTGGTCGGTGACATGGACATAGCGGGTCGATTACTCTCATAGTTAGTGATCCTTTCCGAGATCTTCATCACCGTCTCTTGCTGTGGAGTTGTCGTCGAAACATCACCAGCGACGCTCGAAGAACTACTTGTCGTATTAGTGTTACTGATACTAGTGATAGCGATACTATTACTATTCCCGCTGTTACTCGCCGAATTGCTGTTAGCATTTGAAGTCGAGTTGTTCGTTGTACTACCACTGGAACTGTTACTCGAACTCTTGTTATTGTTGTTGTTGTTGTTATTATTACCACCACCACCGGAAGTGTTGCCACCACTCGAATTATTACCAACCGCCGCAGTGGCATTACTGCTGCTCACTGCGGAAACGCTGACAACACCTTCTCTGGCTATATCCTGAATTGCGCTAGCGGCTCTTGAACCGACACCAGCGGGCTGAAGAATTGTGTACTGCTTTGAATTCGCATCCGGACTTCCCACTGATGATAGTCCGGTGGTGGGTGTTTTATTCGGTATGACATTTGGTGGTGAGACTTCGATAGAGTGGACTTCTTCTTTTGGGGATTTTAATTGAAGGAGTGAGACGGTTTTCTCTTCGGCGATGGGTAGGGGGGTTGGCATCACGGGTCCAGGTGAGGGATAGCCGACGAAGGTGGCCGCTGCTGGATATGGTCCCATTGGGGGTATTGTGGCGCCAATCGTTGATGTTCCCCGACAATTGGCCTTCGAGTGGTGGTCAGTATTCGGCGGTTTGAATGCGGAGGTGGCTGAGAATGGCGAACCGACCGTGGGTGCAGGCGAGGCTGTTGATGTCACTGACGAAGCGACTTTGATGCCAGAGTCGGAATATTGCCGCTGGTAATTGTACATCATTTGATGATGTTTGAGAGAATTCGGCGAAGGTCCGTTTTTACAGATACGATCTTCTTTGTCCCTTTCGCCATCCTCTTTGTCAACCGCAGGGTCGGACATGTCAATCTCAAGTTCGTTCGACGATTCGTCGACTAGTTCGTTAAAATCCGGAGGTTCGTACCTCGAGTACTTATCACTTCCCTTCTCATTCTTGATTCTTCCGTTTAAAGAATTTCTTCCTTTTAGAATATCCTGACTATCACTGTCGAGATCTTTTTTCGTTTTATTACAATATTGTTTCGATTGATCGTATTTGATCTGCTGTTGGGTTCTGATTGTTCGATCCTGACAGCGTAGAGAAATGACGTCCTTGAGTGAATAACCTGTCTCGTTACTTGTTGTTGATGATGTTGACATTGATGAGGGCGAGAGTTTTGGATTGTCCTTTTTCTCTTCGAATAGATTTTCAAAATTTGACTCGTACCTATCCTCGTCTGAGTTTCCTCTCTGATACAAAGAGCCTCTGGGACCAGGCCAACTTCCGGAGAGGCTTTTCAATGCCGCTTCCGTTTCTCTTATCAGTGTCTCGTCGTCTTCCGGTTCTTCGCAATTTTTACTTGACTTTCTGGCAGGACTACCCGAATTTCCTGTTGTAAATGCTCTCTTTCGTTGTGGTAGTGGAATTGTTTTTGTTGTTGTCGTCGTCTCGCTGTCAGATGGTTTTCGTAAATCATCATCGCGAACACTTTTTCTTCTTCGTTTTGCAGCCGCATCGGCCGTCTCCATTTCTTGTGGTATTACCGTTGTTTGTGCACCGAGTTTTTTACAATTCACTGTTGTAATTTGTTGCACCTTGTTTCCTTTTGATGATTCTGCTTCCAATTTTCGTTTTTTAAGATGTGCCATTGCATTCTGACCACCTGGTACACTGGTGAGTTCCACACTGGAACAGAAAGAAATTCCAGAGTTATCTCAGATTTTTTCTTTTGTTTGGTAATTATTAAGGAAACTTTTGTTCTAATTTTAATTCTAGAATTAAGAATGAATGCTTTCAGAGAATCTTTGACATCTATATACCTACTTGATTTAGCGAATGTCAATTAAAGACACGGTCTAAGGGACTATTGTCACTATCCGCACTATTGCAAAACCAAAAACCAACAACAATAACACAAAGTCGAAATTCACAAGGTCCAAATAGTCTATAGTTGTAAAACAATTATTCGAGATAATAATTCAGATACAAGAGCATCTTTAGCTTTATCTTTAATGAAGATAATTGTAATTGGTGGCTGAATGATTTAATTGATTTGATTGATTTAATTGATTAAATGCTGGACTAATTGACTGCACTGCATGTTTGAGTAGATACACAAATTCAGCCATTATAAAGTTAGGCAAATGGCATGCGGAACCGGGTGCGTAAAAAAATGTATTTTTTAGTGAAAGTACAACAAACCCTTCGCGAGAGGGTGCTCGAAAGCTACTGTGCTATGTTGAAAGAAAAAGGCAAGTCGGGGTGGTCGGTGCAACTATAGAGGGGATGCTTTTCTGCGCGGGCACCTCGTTCCTGCTTCGCTCTAAAAGTGGGGGCGGGTCTGCGCACTGTCCACCCCCAAGTCTCAGTAGAAAGCGACTCCCGGACACGATTGCCCCTCTTCTACCTTTTCACCTCGAATCGTCCTGTTCCCTTTTACCACCCACCCCTGGAGACACTAAGGTACCAAGTGGAGGAAGGAAGGCTTGGCTGAGTTTCCACGTAACCCTGGATGCATACCAGCGCGAAGAAAATGATTTTTCTCTTTGGAGAAAAAAAGAGCTTCTATATTTGGCATTTTTTTACACAACAAACCAAATGTACAATAAATACTAATGTAGAATAACTAAATATTAGCTAAATTAATAGCAAAAAGAAAGAAATGTAAAAAGGAAAGAGAAAAATGTTAAGAAAAGAAAGACAAAATTAAATAAACAAAGAAGGAAAAGAAGAAAATAGAAAGGAATTGAAACAGTAAAACAACATTTCCTTTCTTCTTTCTTTTTTGCTTTATTTATTGTTTTCTCTTTCTTCTTTGCATTCTTGCTTTTATTTTTTACTTTTTTGTTTCTTTCTTGTTTTCTTTATTTTTTCTCTTTCTTCTTTGCATTCTTAATTAAGAAAGCAAGAAAACGAAGAAGAAAGAGAATTTATTTCTTTCTTCTATGCATTTTTGCTTTTATTTTTTCCTTTCTTTCTTGTTCTCTTTAAATTTTTTTCTCTTTCTTCTTTGCATTCTTGCTTTCCTTATTTTTTCACATTTTCTTCTATGTTTTCTTAATTGAGAAAGTAAGAAAACAAAGAAAAAAGAGGAAAAGAAATAAAGAAAGTAAGAAAGAAAAAAGAAATAAGGACAGTTATACAGGAAATAAGGAATAAAAGAAAAGCAAGAAAGCAAAGAAGAAAGAAAGGAAATTAAAAAAGCTAGAAAACAAAGAAAAATGAGAAAAAAATAAAGAAAACAATAAGGAAAGAAAAAAGAAAATTAAAAAAGCAAAAAATAAAGGAAAAAAGGAAAAATAGTAAGAAAGCAAGCCAGAAGGAGAATAGGAAATGAAGCAAGAAGTAAAAAAAACGAAACAAAAGAATAGCAAGAATGTAAAGAAGAAGGAAAACGGAATTTAAGAAAGCAAGACAGTAGACAAGAATGAAAAAAGAAAACTAAGGAAGCAATAAACAGAAAAGGAAATAAAGCAAGAAAGAAAGAAAACAGGAAATTGAGAAAGCAAAAAAAGAGAAAAATGAAATTAAGAAAGTAAGAAAACAAAAAAAGGAAAAAAAGAGAAGCAAGAATGAAAAGAAGAAAAAAAATGAAAATAAATAAATAAAGAAATATTGAATGAATGAAAGTAAGAAAAGTTTTAAAAAAGATGAAAAGAAAGCAAAGAGGAATAAAAAAAGGAAAGATGAAAAAAAAGAAAAATGAAAATGGGAGAAAGATAGATGAAGAAATGTATAATCAATATAATCTCGAATTTTAATAATAAGAAAGTATAGTTAAGAAAAAATGAACTACAGAAGCTTTTAGTTTCTGTAATTAAAAATGGAGATTTGCGAAGGAATTGAAAGTTTGAAATTTGAGACTGACCATACCCGCGGTTTTTGGGGGGAAGGTGAATCACGAGCGCTTTTCTGACAAGTTGCTTTCAAGTATGTAAGTTTCTTGGTGATAGGGGTAGCCCCGAATTAGATAAACCCGGTTTTCGAGAATTCGAAGAGAAGGATCAGCGTCAGCGCTTAGAGCTTGCTCCCTGGGATCTCGAAAGGAAGACTTCCCTTAAACCTTAAACCTTAAACCCATTCCCCTCCCCCGCCCCTCAAACCACTGAACCCAGGAGTTTAGAGCGATGAACTCGGCACCGCTGAGAACTGTTGGAACAGGCCGAGCAAAATCACAAGTTAAATCGCACCGAGAGCTTAAGACATTATCACTTTTCTTTGCAGACCAGTGCTCACTAACTCGAAATGGAGAGAGTGAGAGAGAGAGAGAGAGAGAGAGAGAGAGAGAGAGAGAGAGAGAGAGAGAGAGAGAGAGAGAGAGAGAGAGAGAGAGAGAGAGAGAGAGAGAGAGAGAGTAAGTCAGTGAGTGAGAGAGACAGAGAGAGTCAGTGAGTGAGTGAGATCGACTTGGAGTTGGAGAGAAATTCTCTGAGAAAAGCGGATCGATGAGTTCGCGTCCACCCTCCAATTACGTGCCATCCCTTACGGCCTGTGGGGAATAATTAGAAAGCAGCCCTGGGCATATATGGGTCTCGATGTTGCAAAGAGAGGAGCTTAGAATATACCACCCTTCGTGATAACCGCTCAAGTACTTGTTACGCTCGTTATTTCAACTGATTATCGAAGCTTAAAAATATTTATACTCGAGTGACTTTAATTGTTACAAACGTCCCTTGATTGATCTAATTTTATTCAAAAATTTAGTAATTTCCTTAATTGTTTCCATCTATGATGAAAATTTATTTTTATTTATAATAATATTAATTAAAATAATTTTAATATTTGTACTATTCAGTAGTATGGATCAATTTTAAGTCAGACGAAAAATTTGCAAATTTAAGTTAAATTCTATCTATCATTGGTATAGGTACTTTGGAAACACTAATTTATCAGTAGTAAAGGTACATTAGAATGAGAATCAGAAATTCAACTAATACCCCCTGTTAATGTCTGCATTTTTGTAATTAGAATTTAAGTAGTTAGAATCAATTTTAGATCAGACAGAAAGACAGCAGTTACTTTACTTTTGACATTAGTAGTTAACGGTTATACTTATTTTTCAAGATTTGGTAGTAGAAGAAATTTCTTTATCAGTAGTGAAAGTAATTTATAGTCAGACTCTAAATTTTCGTATCAAAGATATATCATTAAAAAGTTTAATGAAAAATTTTAACTTCTATTTAAATGTGTTCAGCAGTAGGTAGTATAAATAAATTTCAATCAGAGGTTTAAAATTCTCGTCGTTATCAGAATTTAGAAAACAAATATCAGTTTAATACAGGGGCGTAGCCAAAAAAAAGTTTCGGGGGGGGGGGTTATGAAATTTGATAAGAGGTGTACTCAGAATAAAATTAGAAATTTAGGCTTTAACATCAATGTTTTTTTCAAAATTTCGGAGGGGGGGTTGAACCCCCCAAAACCCCTCCCTGGATACGCCCCTGGTTTAATATCAGACAGAACAGTGATTATTAGTAGTTAGAGTAGAAATTTGACTAGACCGAATTGATATTATTCGATTTGGCATCAGAAACATTAATTTGCAGTAAAACTTTACATTTTTCTGATTATAATTTCTGTATTTAGGGTCAGTTCCAGGTCAGGCGGAAAATTTGTAATTAGTACTGTTTGTAGTTTACAATCATAATTATTTAGAGTAATTTGCAATTAGGTTATTTCAGTATCAGTAGTACGAGTCGATTTTAAGTCAGACAGAAATTTTAATTTTTTTAATGTTATTTATCAGCAGTACGAGTAAATTACAATAAGACACTCTAAATTGTAGTACTTGTAGAAAATTAGTGGACAATGTCAATTTTAGGTCAGACAAACCGGCTTTTATTAGCAGTGGGAGTGCGTATTTAATAAGACAGAATGCTTTACAGATTATTTATTTTATTTGCCAGGAGAACTTAATTTAAAGTAAAACATTACATTCCTGTAATTACACTGAGAAAACTGGAGAGTCAAATTCAGAGGTTCAAAAAGTGTATGTTTCCTTTGCTTATGAAGAGAGTTAAATAGTCCTTCTAAAATAAATTTTGAATTGATAATGGAAATCTACTTGTATATTCTCTCCCATTATATCTGAGGGTTAAAAGTTGCGCAGAAAATGTGTACGATCTGATGCGCGCGAAATTATTTTTCTGACATTTTATGTATTTAATTTAGGGGTTAGGTTGCCATATTTATTCGATTTATTCATTTCGCGCCGGATAAGGAAGGGATTTCTCAAGATGGTTAATTTGTCCCTCTGTTATAAACTCATTTTCCCTCCAAGAGAAATGGCACGAATATCTGTCAATGGTGTATTTGAACATTTAGATTGTTATCCAATAGCTAACTCTCAAATATCAACGATTTGTCCCTCCAGATGTTTAGTCCAATACTCCAGTTTTCTCAGTGTATAATTTCAGTAGTAAGAGTCAGTTTTAATAAAGACAAAAAAAATTTTATAATCTTTAAAGTTTTGTCATCTTAAATGATATTTTGTTGTTATAAGTGGCAAACATTGTTTTTAGTCAGACTAACTTATATAATTTTTTAATCAGTAGTAGGAGGCATAATTTTTAATCAATAGAACAAATTAATTTGAATCAGATGATTAAAAATTCACGAGAACTCTGTTTGACTCAAATTTTTGTTCATATAATTTAAGTAGTAAGAGTCAGTCCTAAGTCAGACGGAAA